ATCAGTATTAGTTGATTGTTGTTCACCCTCCACCGCATCAATCCCTAATTTTTCACGTCATTTATTAACCACATCACATTATTTATTTATTTTGGGTTTTTAAAGAAACTTTGGACACACTGTCGTGACATTTTGCAATAGCTAGGCCATCTAGCGGTATAACCTACCTATGTGATGGCTAAAGCCAGCTAGACCATGAGGTCATGCATGTGAGATGAAAGACAAAACTACTGGACAACAGATAATTAATATGCACACTTACCACCAACTGGACAGGAGGGTCTACTACAGGTGGACTACATGTGGTTATTGATGGGGACTAGAGTTTGAGACTCAGACTCAAGTCCAACTTAAGTCTCACACACACAGTGACTTCAGACTCGACTTGAGACTTGTCCTCAAAGACTTCAGACTTGACTCGAACTCGAGGTAAAGGACTTGTGAACAATGTTTATTTTTACGAAACATTTGATGAGCTTGCTGTTCCCCTCCTTCCGTTACCTATAACCTACCTACGTAACTACATTTATCATAAACTTTGGCTTTAAAACTTCATACAACAAGGCCCAAACAAAGAAGCGCTGAAAGCAAAATAGGTTAGAAACCTGAGGTCGGTAAACATGTTTAGCTCAGCATTGGCCATCTAACGTTAGCTTGCTTCTTGCTTCAGCTACAACCTACGGGAGGTTAACTCCGACAGTCGTTTGTTATGAAAAGATGAATGAACGTTTGTTTACTTGCCAAACCTCTGGCAGTTGATTAACGTAATCATTTACGTCCCGCTGTCTGCCATAACGTTAATCATTAACGTGGCTGCAAACAGGTTACTGGTTTATTGTTGATCATGTAACGTTACAGTTTTATTTAGTTAACATTACACTGGTTTGAGTGTCTGGGGAATCTGTTGACTTACAGGAGTTTAAGCTGTCATTGATTGCATTGCACATTAAATGGTTGTGCACTGTGAAAACAGGTTTATTGTTGATCATGTATGGAATAAATACTGTCCCAAATGTATTGTAGCTGTGTGAAAATGTTTGAATGTATATCTGAATATCTGAAAAACCCAAAGATTACAGGTACGGATCGATTCTACAGGTACTAAACAAACCTACAGTTATGTTCTGCTGACTAGCCAATGGGAATGCTCGGGTTAACATGTCATTTGACTATTGGTATAAAATAAAAAATTGGACTAGGTAAGGCTTTATGCTGTGGCCTCACAGTGTTTTCCAGTTAATAAATCCTTGCTGTAGTTGTCTGCAGGGAAACAAAAATATATTCCTTTTAGTGTGTTTAAACATATATAAATCAATTCCAGTAGCGCTTACAGTGATTCTGACTTTTGGGTTAGACACTTCAGAGTGTTATCTTTCAGAGAAGCCCCAAAACTATGAATTTACTCCAAATGGTTCAAGAACTGCATTTAATTTACTTTGGATATGCATTGAGTAGGTGTTTAAAACAAATTTTACAGGAATGGTAAGAGGTTACCGTTACTACACGTTTCTGTTACTCTGTTTTTCTACTCCATTTCAATAATCAGTGAAGCCAATAGTAGACTAAATAATGGAAACACCTTTGTGTATAGTTCAATATAGTTAGAACAGGAACACACACCACATCTTCCAAAATGATCATACAGTTGAATTGCCACTTCTCTTAAACTGTTTAAACAAATTCCTAAGAATTTCATATGATTTGTGACTTGCTTTACCCAAGCAATGACTTGGGTTGACTTGCTTGCCTTTCATCACGGTGACTTGCTTCTGACGTGGACATGTGCGACTTAAATCCCACCTCTATGTTACGGTAGATTGCCCTTAGTCATAATCTGTCAAAATGCCTTCAGATTTTTTACGTCATTGTTAAAAAAGAAATTCAGTCAATGACAGAGAATATTTGGTTAACGTGACCCCTGGGTAGGAGAGATTGTATTATCTGATGTTGTTATTCTGGGGCCGCACTGGGAGGAAAGAGAACTTGTGGTTCTTTCTTGTGGGATACAGTTTCATCTATCTTGACAAGACAAAAGTCACACTCACTCTATTATAGTCTTCAGGATCTCTCGACACATTCTCTCTGTCTCTGTGAAAGCAAATGTGCTAATGAGTGAAATCCCACAGATGGACAGTCAATGTTAAAATGCTTAAGTAGTCAAATGAAGACCCTGATTTAACACATGATGCGGGTGGTTCTGCCATTTGGAGTAATTTGAAGAACGAAATTTGGAGCCATGGGAAATCAGAGCAAATAATAAGACCATTGTTCTGTACGGAGTTGCAGTGGTCACCAGTTTCCCCTCTGTAAGGCTAATGCCTGAAGCCCTAAATGGCCACAACAACTGAGAGAATATTGTAATTGAATAATTCTTCATACGGAGGTGGAATTCACATTGTGACATAGACACATTTACTGCATGGCAAACCTTTGATTCAGCTCCTTTGTAAGTTCTGTTTGCAGTATTCAGTGGAAGTAACTAAGGTTCATCCCCTGTTTGCTGTTCTAGTAGTTAATGATATAGTAGCATAGGGAATAAGTTGGGTCCACACTCTCCTTTATTCATATTTTTACTTTGCTGTTCCTCATTTTCAAAGGCAAGATGTGTGTAACACAGTAGTTGATGAAAGAAGAGAAAAAAGACCAGCCAGCAGGTTTTATTTATGGATTCACTGAGGCTCTTTTTTTCTTTTGACCAGGCCCAGCTATGGGCATTCTGGCCACCAGTGAATTTATTTTACACTCTCTAAAATGATGACATACACCAGGCTTTGTTGCGGGGGGGGTGTGGGGGTGGGTGTGTGTGTGTGTGTGTGTGTGTGTATGTACTGTGAGGCGGTAAGCCTTCCCTGTGCAGTTGTTTGGTCTGACCTCTCCTCCCCATCAGTGACATACCATTAACTACTACACATGCTTTTCTGTGCACCTACCATCCCTCGTCAGCGCAGGCAATATATTTTGTTTGTCTTTTTCAACGGTGGCACTGCTGGTGCTATACTCCCAGCCGCTTGATAGGCTCCGCTGCTTACCATACAGTATGTTAATGAGCCTTACAGATGTCCTTCAAAGGATAGGGAGAAAGGAGTTTATTTTGTAGTCATGTCACATTACTGTTCTTTCTGAACTGATGTTAGCTGCTGACAGTTGCAATTAGGTGTAAAATAACATGCTGTTCCTTTCCTGTCAAAGCAAAGGGCTTGGGCAAAAATGCCTTGACCCAAGAATGGCCAGAGGGATAACTCTTGTGCACAGTCCCATTTACTGGAGATGGTGGAGTGTGCCAGTGTGCTGGCAAAAAAAGAAAAAAAATGGTTGCTTCATTGGTTGCTTCATTTTTTTCACTTACGCAGTGTCTCTCACTCCCCCTCTTATTCTTTTCTGCACACTGAGCCAGGAGAGGCCTGGAAACTCATCTGACACTCAAGCTGAGATTTAATGTAAAAGTGTAATAAGAGCTTTGAAGAGAGTCAGCTCCCCTCTAAAACGCCATCCCTTCAGAATTCACTGTTTTTGGGGGATATTGTTATGGGTCGTTGAGGCACCGGTACTTCTCTCCATTGAGAGTGGCGTCCAACATATTGGCTTGTCGTCCTCAGTGATGATGGAGCCCATATTTTATGAGAGTTGCACTTTAAGTGAAACTGAGAGGTGTTCCTGAAAAACGGGAGATGGAGGGGGTGGGTGTCACTGAGATGGCCCCTTTATTCCCAGCGGCCAATTTAAACTTTGATGTGAGTGTTTGGGTTCCCATGGTATCAAGGAGAGCAAAATTACTTTTCAGTACTGGGATAAGAGATGTGTGTTTCTCTCATGCCTTAAGTCTCAAATCCAAATCATTTTGTCAATGAAACAGTTTATACAGTAACAATCTGGCTCACATTGGCCGCGAAGTGGACAATGAGGGACGGGGTACAAGCTGTGGAGTGTGTTGATTTGAAAACTGATGTCTTTATTACTTGTATCTTTTTGCGTCTGTATGGGGGAATGTGATAAAACACTATAAATGCTGGAAACCTCATAGACATCCTCTGTAGTATAATGTTGTCTGACTGCACACTAAAAAACAAGGTGAATCCAATGCACCACACTAGATGTCATGATGTTTATACTTCCAACTACTGCAGTGTTTCTATATTTTTTTTAAGCCTCAAAAGGTTGATAGAGTAAACCTGTTCAATGCTTTGAACATCTGTGACTAATTTATGATTACAGTAGATAAATTAATTTCAGTGCTGCTGTTTTATTTCTACAGCCATTCTGCATTTTCCTTCCCAGATGTAGTGCTCACATTTGAAAAGTGTGCATTGTAGAAAGAAATTAATGGCTTGGGCTATCTTTTAATTAGTTTTTTTTGCATTCCACTGTTGCTCAAAAACTGGCAAGACAGAAGGGTCAAGGTCAGAAGAAATTTATTACATTTTCATATCAATGCGGGGAAGAAATGTTTTGTGAAAAGTACTTTGTATCTGTATTTTTTTTTGAGGGGGGGGCAAAGTTTGGAAAGGGTAGAATGTTAAGAACTCATCAGAAAGCTGTTTTGCTTGCAGGATTGTAAATAAATTCACCGCATTCTCAAGTGTCAAGAAATTTGTGTTTGTCATGTCTAAATTAGCTAAGCTGACAGTGCTGCCTTCAAATGGGGCAATCTGGATGAGTTTTCACTTTCTATAAGACAAGACCTACATTGTTAACAGAATAATATGCTTTGTGCTGACTGATAGAAGGCGTGTGGCTGTTTTATTTGAATCTCATTTAAATTGAGTGCAAGAGATTGTTGGAAGATAGAGAGAGAAGTTGTATATGAAATAATAGACCCTCTTCTTTGTTAATGTCATATTATACTGTACCAGGGTTTTTCCTGCATAGACAGTTAAGCGCAGACCTCTGTTAAATTTGTTCCTGCCTCCTGCTCTCAACAAAATTCTGAGGTTGTCTCCACGGTAAACATTATTTTCTAACATGCGTTGCACTTTGTGGATTTCTGTCATTTGTTACTGCAGTTGCGTTATTAAACTGACTTGGTGTACAGCACAGCGCACTGGGGCTGCCAAACGTCCGGAGAGGAAGAAAAGAGCCGTCTGATTAGCTGAACTGAAGCGCTGGGGCCGCGACAGTGTTTCCGCTGGTAACGCCTTTGCCACACAGCAAAAAATAATCACTAAAGAAAAGAAAACTGCCTTTTTCTGTCATTCCATGTTTTATTTTAGTTTTATATCACCAGCAAACGTTTAAAAATGCCATTGCAAATGTCAGTCTGCATTTGTGAACACTGCTCTATGCACTTCTACATGTGACTGAACGGCGTCCTGTACAGCGACTACAAAGTCAGTGTGTGTTTTTTTTAATACCGGTAGTTCAATACAAAACCTACATCGGAAGACATGATACATACTTTATCCTCATGGATGAAGGCTTGTTACCTTCAACTAAACCTCTCTAAGACTGAACTCCTGGTCATTCCAGCCAAGCAATCCACCATAACATCAAACTACAAATTGACTCCTCATCTGTCACTCCAACCAGGGTAGTGAGAAACTTGGGTGTTGTGATTGATGACCAACTGTCCTTTTTTAGACCATATTGCTCTCGGTCTTTGCTCTATACAACATGTAATGGAAATTTGTCCTTCAAGTGAGTCTTCTGAAATAAAGAGTTCAATCCCGACGTCTTTTAAGGGTTTTATTTTTTGCAAAGGGTCAGACGTACAGAGCGCAAACAGTCTGCAGAATGTAAGAGAAAGAGCCAGTGAAGAAACAGTTGACTTTATACTGTAAGGGTATTACACAGCTATCTTAGGAAGGGAGTAGGGACCAACTGTCCTGAGATGAAGACGGTCCGATAAGGAACCCCTCTAATGAGCTACTCTCCCATGGGAACCTTCACCTAGCTGCAACATAATAAAATTATTAAACACTACACAGTGAAACAGGCCTACAATAATGCAGCATAAAAGGTAAAACAGTAAACACAGTAAAATATCAAATTTCCATCACAAACATAACAAAAATCAGGCCCTGCCTTACTCAGTATGCCACCCAGTTTCGGATACATGCCATGGTTCTCTCTCATACAGAGTGACTACTGGGTCTGCACCCATTTACCTAAACTCCATAATACAACCTTATGTTCCTTCTCGGCAGGGCTGCAATTTACGACTAATTTAGATAATCCATTATTCTATTGATTATTGAAACGAATACGAATCGCAAAATTACACATCTCGAATGTTAAACAGGACCGTTAATATAAAATAATTATTTGCTACTCTAACAATGAATTGACCAAAGGAAACCATATAGATTATATATTCGTTGGCAAAGAATGTAATAATGGATTTTTGTCAACTACGCCGATTAGTTGTTGCACCACTACTTCTCTGCCATCCCTACACACAAAGCAATCTCAGTCCCGGCTGTTCTCATCTGTAACACCAGAATGGTGGAACAAGCTACAACAAGCCATCAGAGCAGGGGCGTCCCCCCTCTAACTTGAAGAAGCTCTTGAAAACTCATTTCTTCCGGGAACACTTTCTCTTATAACACCTATAACCCCTAACCTCTAACATGCACTTCCCGTGCTCTTCTTCTGTCTCCTTACAGTTCTCTTGTATTGATTGCACTATTTTGTTAACTCTCACTTTTTTCCCTAGGTATTAAACCATTGATGCCATACATGCTATTAGCTCTTATTAGTATATTGCTGCTCTTACTGTATTGATGCTTTATTGATGCTTGTATGTTGTTCTTCAAATGTAAGTCGCTTTGGATAGAAGCGTCTGGCAAATGAGTAAATGGAAATGTACTGATAAAAGCAAATTAATTTAAATTAGGAAGTAAGAAACAAAATAACCATATAATATAAAAAATTAGTGATCTTGTAAAAGTGTGGGGAGGGGGGGACTACTTAAAACACAAATACTTAAAAAAAAAAATTGTATTCAGTATTTGTGGTCATGTTCTCAGTCAAACAGAGTTTAGCCATGACATGTGACATGCTTCAGTAACAACAGATATTACTAGGCCAATTACAGAAAGTTGCAGATGACTAGGCTACAAGAGGATCCCTGAACTATAAAAGAAACTAATAGCTTATATTTATTTTTTTACTTGATTTTAAGCAACTTGCTATTTATTTATTATAAATTTTTCTTTTACGTGATAATTGTCATTTTCTGCAATAATATAATTATTATAACTCCTAAAATATGTTGCTTGTTAAAAGTGTTTGCTTGGACCAGTTGAAGTCGCAGTGCACATGATCAGGATGGGACCACCTCTGCCTCATTTTGAGCCAGGAAAAACCACGAGTAACGGTCTCATTGTTCATCCACTCAGCTACCAGTTTAAAAGGTACAATTATTGTAGCTAAAACTGCAGTCTAATACAACAGCCCTGCAATAAATCCAACCTTTATAATGTTCAGTTTTTGTTAAATCCTTTTTTAAAGAGGTGTTGATTTAACTTAATGGTAATTTTTGAGGCTTTAGTGTTTGCTGCTGAATTATAATACGTTATACTGAGCACTTCTCTGTATAGCCCGTTATAATTTTTAATATTTACTCTAGCACTTGACTAAATATGGTTAGACTATGCGTGGACTCAGTATTAGAGCCACCTCTCTGTGTAATTGCAATTCACTTCAACAGCACCACAAATAGCATAGAAATTTCCATAAAATGGCAAGTGTAATGTTTTATTGCAGGGCTGTTGTATTAGATTGCATAAGTTTTAGCATGATATACCTAATAAACTGAAAGTTGAGTTTGTATTGTCCACAAACTCTTGTGCATACATAAATGTATGTTATTGTGTATGCTTGTGTCTTCAGTAGTAGTAGTCTTGTGTCTTTTTTTTTGGGACGATATACTTAAAGTTTTCTTTTAATTATTCTGTGTGAGCGTGCCGGATCAATTGTTGGCCTACAACAAGCCGACTCAGAACGGGTAGCTGAGCAATGCCAAGCTGCGTCAGCCCTAATCTGTCTCTCGACAGTCCAGCCTTATTTCGCAGCAGAATACTCATATTGATCTGTGCGCTTGTTACACAAATAAATAAATAAGTCAACTACACCGCACCTGAGTTCACAACCTGCCCTTGACAATACTCGGAGTGTGTGTAGTGAGAGATGTGGTGTAGAGGTGGAGGGGTTGCAGTTGTGCAGCAGGGGAGCAGAGAGTCAGAAAGGGTTCTGCATTGTTGATCCAGTGTGACATTGATAGACAGCAGCTGAAGGAAAGCTGATAGCCATGTTTGGCGTGCTGGTTTTTAAAGGACGGACGTGACTACCGATCCAAAGTTGACCGAGCATGAATTCAGCAGGCGATCGCCCCAAGTGGTTGTGCCGAACAGAGGTGAGGAAGGAAACTTTCACATATGACTTGGTTGACTTTCCATCTTTTCCACCATTATTATTCTCCCCTTGAACTACTTGTTTCTTCCAGAGTTATTTTTACATGTGCCTGCCTCTCTTTGTTGCACACAGCAATTCATGTTTGTTTCCTCTTTCTGCACCACCTCAGTCAGGACAAACAAAATTGTGAACAAATGTCAAACTTCCCTGTTGCATGGGTTGTCCATATTAAATGAAAATGTCTCTTCTAATCATGTGGCTGTGTAATCGGTAGTTTCGTAAGACTATGATTGTTTTAGTTGCAGCCCTTAGTGCAGCTTGGACTGTTGTGTCAAGTGTCTCTGCTTTCCTGCCAACAATGCACACAGGAAACATTGCACATAACTTTATAATCCATAAGAAATGCCTACTACGTTTAAGATCTTATCTATATAGTAGTTCTTCTAACTAGTCATTGCTTGCTGCTTTTTTCAATTTACCAAACAACAGTGACTGTGCCAGACCTGATGAGAGGTTTTACGCTAAATCCATTGATGCAAAAAGATTTTGCTTTTTAGTGAAATGAAAATTTTCCTTGACATGATGAGTTCTCTTCAGTTTCTCTATTCCGCACAGTGCTAGAAACTTTACCTTGGGACCCTGAGAGTCTTGGGGAGTACTTAGCATTGTGTCAAATCCTAACAAAAACAACATCAAATGCAGTTAGCGATCTCGCTACAGTAGGTCTCTGGTTAGCCTCACTTTTCAAAGTGCCACTTGACACTCTTTTGGGGGGCCTGCAGCAGCTGCTGTTTTTCCAAGCAAAACAGTGTAAGCCCAGCTAAAGAACCAACTAAAAGCCCCTGACGAATTAATCTTAAATGGGGACTGAAGGCCAGAAAAGCAACTGCTGCAGAGTTTGTGAAGTACTTTAGGCTGCCTTTCCTTATGCATTCAGCAGCCTCCATCTACTTACCTCTACACACGTTTAACAGCCTCAGAGGATAATACTAGGAAATGTTTATTGCTAAGAAGTGCCTCATATATTTGAACATGGACAGATAGCAACTGTTTAAATAGTCTATCCACTGAACTACAGTACAGAATAACCTCATATCCTAAATTGCGCCATTGTTTTTTTTTTTTTTTTTTTTTCTCTGGTCTGTGGACTTGATCCAGATTTATACTGCATACCACTGTGTTGTTTGGTGCTTCACGAGACTGGTCCTTGTTGGTGCTCCTCTCTCTGTTTCTTCTCAATCTTTTTAAGTATGTTTATGTGTTAGTGTGTGGTGTGTCTCACTTGGGACAAATTCTCTCTTCTTTGTGTTACTGTGATTCAATAATTAAAAAAAAGAAAAGAAAAACGACCTAAATATTTGACTACAGGGCTAAAGTGACTGGTCCCTCTTTCTTTTCTTTTTTTTCTCTCTCTGTAGGCGGACATTTTCGAAAGATGGAACAATCCACATATAATCGAAGGCTACTGTGTTTCATTGTCAGAGAACAGTGCCTGCAGTGCTGCTCTGTTCTCTGGGGACTTCTTATAAAGGCATGCCAGTGGGCAGATTAATGATGGTGAACTAGACAGTGATGTCTGCAGAGTGATGTAAAGTAAAGAAACAACATAAAATGAGAGACAGGTCACCGCGCCTCGCTAAGTGAGTTGTGTTTCTTCACGTTCGCTGAGCCCTGAGTTGTTGAGGACTAATTAATTCAAGAACAAATGTCCCCAAAGGCTGCAATTAATGATAAACTTATTAGACGTGATGGTGCCCATGAGGTCTGGATCTCATCGTGGTGTCCACGCTCCTGGTGGTGTTACTTACCCAGCTGTCACTTCAAATAAATTAAGAAAGGGAACAAAGTGTGTGTGTGTGTGTGTGCATGTAACCATGTATAAGTCCATTTTCCAAGACACAGTCAATCTTCAAATAGCCCTTCAGTCTATTTCTATCACTTGACATTTGACACGACTGTTAAGTTCTTATTGACACCATGGCCAGAACTGAGGTGAGGGGATATAAATGTAACATATAGACAAGTGGTGTGTGTGCTTTCTAATGGGTCTGTCGAAACTGAGGTCTCAGGAGAATGCACATCTTCCATACTGCCTTACAGAGACTGTCAATTCTGAAGAATGAGGGGTGATTCAGTGACCTCCTTACTTGCTAACTGTGTACTAGAACAGCTGCACCCAGGCCATTTACAATTTAGTTAAATTGTCCCCCTGAGCACAGTCACCCTACCTTGCCATACTAAACAGAAAAGTGTGCAGTGAGAGTATGTGCAAGCGTATGTGGGCAAGAGAGAAAGGAGAGATGGAGAGCCTGAGAAAAATGAGATATGAATCTCAATTCAGGCAGGCTTCGTTCAGGGTAGCCTCACGCCTCACCAGTTTCACTTCAGTTTTACATCCCCAGGGTTTAATACCTCTCACTACGCTGCCCCGCTCCGCTCTAATGATGCCAGGTGATGTCTGAGATGTAGAGGTGGTGTCAACAGATGTAAAGTCTGTTTATGTAGTACTTAAGACTGGTGATGATGTGACTTTTGGGTCTCAAAAGTTCCACCCACCATTCTCAAACACACCTTGAATTTACCCACTGAATTACTCAAGAGAACATAAAACTAATACCTCGCAGCTTCACGTTGTGGTTTTAAGTAATTTTATGTATTACCATAGTGAATGCAGCAATGCAGCGATAAAGTCAGCGTAACATTCCTGTGCATTCAGATGTACACATGGTTAACAAGTAAATGTGAGTCAGCATGAGCACTTTGCGATGAATCCAGCCTAAAGACAGAGGAAGGGGACACATAACGCTGACTCCAAAGGTGAGTCACTCCCCAGGGAGCCCCATGTTAAAATTTCTTTCACAGTAGAAATAAACATGTTTAAAGCCTGGTACAAAAAACTGTTTTGGACACTGGGCTTCACAACGGCTCTTCAGAAATCTACGGGTGACAGAGGCGGCAGGGGTCGGCAAATAAGTCTGGCATCGGGCCAAATTTTTTTCATGTCATTAGATGGCGGGCCAGGATATCTTCAATTGACCATTTATATTCCAACATTTACTGTGTGTTCGATTCGCTTGGTAGTTGGTAGTGCACCAGTGTGTACATCCCAGCGATTGGTCCACATCAACCTATGGACACTTATTTTCATGTCCCCAGTGTCTCCAGGCAGAGGAAATTCCTGCTTTTCTCATTCAGGGGAATCTGCAATCTCACGTTTTCTGATGGCTTTTTCAGAGGTGTGTCACTCAAGACAGTGACTCTTTTGAACTTCCTTCAGAACTTTTCAAAGTAAAAGCTCTCAGTTAAACACAACATAAAGGACTTAGCAAAAAACGTTATCGTGCTTTTATTATGTAGGCACAATCACTTAAGAAGAAGTAATTATGTGAGTAACTTTCGCTGTCATGACCAAGATCTGTTTCCGCACCAGCCACTGTAATTATTATTTTTTATTGCCGCTATCAAAGTAATCTGGCCGCTGGCCAGATATTATTGCTGGCAGGCCGCCAATATCCGACCACTGGTCTATGGTATTACCCCCACCAATGTAGCAAGTTATGTGAAGCTGGACTAATTAGTCATTCCCCGCTCCAGAGTAACACTGGGGTAACTTGAAAGTGACAGACCTCTGCCTGTAATGTATTGTATTGTACACATGGCTTTCCTGAGACATGTTTCTCTTTTTGTTTTATTCATCCATCAATACCTCACACAGACATAAAGGTCTTAAATTTAATATTCTAAAAAATAAGGCCTTAAAAGTATTAAATTTTATTTACAAAAGTCTTAAATTTTTTTTTTTGTCCTTTCGTAGGATTACATAAATGCCGCAACGTCATAAATAAATATTTTTTGTGTGTGTGACTTTACAATTTACTCCGTTTGGTGTGACTTGGGTGTTATATGGCAGTACAGGTAACGTTACTGTTTACGTCAGTGTTTAACTTTACTCTCTGGACTATGGAGTGTTGAGCACAAGCTCTGCCATCCAAGCTCTGGTGTGAGTCAGTTAGTTGTTTGGAAAGAAAAGAAAACGTCTCTGACGAGCTACTAATAAGCTAACATTCGTTCGTCCACTCAGAATGGGCAAGTGTCTGAAGTTCAGAAGACCAGCGATACGGACAAGTTGGCGGACGAGGCTAAGGGCAGTGGTGCAGAGGTTGGCATAACGCGCGGATCGGCATGCGAGTCAATCACACTATGGCGAGCGGTAACGAAACAGCAGAGCTGGAAGACCCGCCTACAGCTTCCTGGTCAGTTAACGTTACAACAGCAACAGAGAGACAGTTGTGTTTGAGACAAGGACTGGGTCTGTGTGTCGACGTTGTAGCACTATCGTAGGGTAATGTTATGTGAATGAAAACGTCCAACATGCTATCACACATTAAACTACATCAACCAGATGGACAAAACAAACCCTGAGCCCAACTCCTTATCCCCACTGCTTTCAAGCCAATACTAAACAAACTATATTTCAAGCAGAAATAAAAAAAATAAAATTTCAAAAACAGAACAGGATGAATAATCACTAAAGCAACTGGTATTTACATTAACATATTATATTACATTACATTATCTTATCTAGCCAAGGTGTAACTAATTGTAACAACTCATTCTGCACTATTTTTGTATTTTTGGTTTCACATCATAAGAGTTCTTAGTGTGAAAAATATTGTATTAATTTTGTTATGAGAGTACAAACACACCCCAAAAAGCTATTGTGTATTAGGTAGGTAGGTGCATTTATTGTCACAATATAACAGGTTATATAATGAAATTGAGCTTTGTAGCAGCTGAAACTTCTATATCTCTTCCCAGAAGGCAGCAGGTTGAACAGGCTGTGGCTGGGTGGGTACTGTCCTTTAGTATACTTTGGGCTCTGGTACCGATATCACTGATGCTTGGGAGATGGGTGCCAATGATCTTCTGAGCTTTTGTATTAGATATGAATGTGAGTATTATAATGAAATGTTTTATTAAATTCAGCTAACTTCGTAAATACTAATTTTCTCAGGCTTAAAATTCATACAAATTTTCTATTATAGTGGTATTAAAAAGGTCATAAAAAGTCTTACATTTAATGTACCCTGTTATTGCGTTGTTCAACAGTGTCAGTGTCACATCAGGTGAGTGTGGAGCATCCATCATCTGTCTAGAATCATGCCTGCTTTATGGGCAGTTGCACAGAGGTGTGAAAGTAAGGCAGGGTTTGAACGTCTCTTTTCTCATTCTTCACAAAGCTACTTTTGTCACTTTTTGTGTGAGTGCAATACCATCAGTGACTTTGAGGAGAATCTCTGTGTAATCCGTTTGTGCAATACATTCCGTCAAGACAACAAAGAAATGCAGAACGTTTTGGAAAGAGATCAGGAAGGCGTTAAATTTTTGATAATACTTCAATACAGACGTGGACAACTACAGTTTCAGGTTATCAGTATTATCACGGTATTGTAAAAATATGCCAAAAAATATTAAAATGTACTGATACACAAGTTTTTATATTGAAAACTACAAATACACTTGCCATTTTGTTTGCATAAAAAATGAAATGACAGCAAATACCTTTTGTAAACATGAAAATCATCTGTGCGCATTATCAAGATTTTATATTATATAGGTAATACAATGACCCTGTGGACAATTACATGAAAACATATAAGTCTTTAGAAAACAGTGAGCAATGATCCCAAAAACTGACATAAATACAGAGTAGTCTGTAAGCGTTTCTAGATATGCTGGTTGCTTGATTAAACTGTGTAATGTGTTATCATGTGCAGTGAACGAATAGACTCTGCCGACACACGACGCACACAGCAGCAGAACAACGTGTAGCGTTTTTACAGGAGCAGCTAATACTGAGAGCTTCAGTTTACACGCTGTTAGCAAGTCAGAGAGACAAACCAAAGCTAAAAGTTAACTCACCCTGCCTTCACAAGTTTCCTTCAGCACTCTCATGAAAACTAAAATACGACCAGACTTCAGAGTGACTGAAAAATCTCCGCAGCCTTTTCTTCCGCCGTGTTGTCATTGACCCAAACAAACCCACGTTGCATTCTGCGCATGCGCACCTGCTTCTGGGAGCAAGGTTATTATAGTTTTGGATTTTTCATTAGTTTTTATTTTTATTTCGTTTTGACTTGTTGTTTTCAATTTCAGTTTAGTTTTAATTAGTTTTTAATGTGGGTTTGCTAATTTAGTTTAGTTTTTATTTTTGGAAAATGCTTAGTTTTAGTTTAGTTTTTATTAGTTTTAGTCTTTGTCACTACGTGATGCCAAGTTCAGTTTAGTTCAGTCCAGTTTAATTTTTTTCACAAAACAATAAAATACAAGTACAATTAGAAATATTTGTGAAAAGGGCCAATAAATATGTAAGTAAGTACTGACACATTGTCGAAATAAATACTACAAATAAATGAAGCACATGCAATCTACAGTATAATTTCTAACCTACATACAGAAAACCCTAAGAGCAAACTACCCTAATCCTACATTCCATCAGTCTCTAGCTCTATCATTCTTGGTTAAATAGGTGAAATACAATAAATGGAGGAGAAATACAATTGATGGACAACTAAGAAACTGGAAGATGGTGTAGCCCACCCTTGGAGCCACAAACAACAGGTCCCTAGCACTCTGTGAAGAAAACACACACTAGCAGTAAATATAATGACCAGCAGACACTTTAACCCAGTGCAAGGGGAGCTCACAATCAATGGGCAAGTTTAGCCTATCCCACACGCAGGATGCTAAGCCAGAATATAATAAAAATATATTTGCCAAAAAATCTATTAAAAAAGAAAACCAACCACCTACACAGCTGATCCGTACCCTGACTGGC